ACATAAGATAACATATGTTATATAACATAACATGACCTATGTTATATAACAAACATAACATGTGTTATATAACATGACATGACATGTTTTATACAATGACATGACGTATGTTATATTACATGAAATAACATATATGTTATATAACAGAACATGACAAATGATTACAACATAACACGACACGTTATATAACATAACATGACACATGTTATATAACAAACATGATATGACATATGTTATATAACATAACATGACACGTGTTATATAACAAAACCTAACACATGTTAGATAACATAACATCACATGTGTTATATAACAAACAACATGACACGTGTTATATAACATGACATGACATGTTATATAACATAACATCACATATGTTATATAACAAACATAACATGTTATATAACATAACATAACATATGTTATGAAACAAGCATGCATAACATGTGTTATATAACATGACATCACATGTTTTATAGAATGACATGACGTATGTTATAACATGAAATAACATATGTTATATAACAGAACATGACACGTGTTATATAACATAACAACGACACATGTTATATAACATAACATGACACATGATTGTAACATAACACGACATGTTATATAACATAACATGAAACATGTTAGATAACAAACATGACATATGTTATATAACATAACATGAAACGTGTTATAAAACAAGCATAACATGTGTTATATAACATGACATCACATGTTTTATACAATGACATGACGTATGTTATAACATGTAATATCATATGTTATATAACAGAACATGACACATGTTATGTTATATAACAAACATAACATGACATGACATAATAAATATGTTATATAAATAACATGACACATGTTATATAACAAAAATAACATATGTTATATGACATAACATTAAACGTGTTATATAACATAACATGACATGTTATATATAAAAAAAAACCAGACGTATGTTATAAAACAAACATAACATGTGTTATATAACTTGACATCACATGTTTTATACAATGACATGACGTATGTTATATAACATGAAATAACATATGTTATATAACAGGACATGACACCTGTTATGTAAGATAACAACGACACGTGTTATATAACATAACATGACACATGATTATAACATAACACGACATGTTATATAACAAACATGACATATGTTATATAACAGAACATGAAACGTGTTATATAACAACATGACACATGATTATAACATAACATGACATATGTTATATAACAAAACATGACACGTGTTATCTAACATAACATGACACATGATTATAACATAACACGATACATGTTATATAACATGACACATGATCAAAAGATAACATGACACATGTTATATAATATAACATGACACAGGTTATATAACAACATGACACATGGTTATAACATAACATGACATGTGTTGTATAACATAACATGACGCATGTTATATAACATAACATGACACAATTATAACATAACATGACACATGTTAGATAACAAACATAACATGACATTACATATGTTATATAACATAACGTGACATGGGTTATATAACATAACATCACACGTGTTATATAACATAACATCACACATGATTATAACAGAGCACGACACATGTTATATAACATAACACGACACATGTTATATAACATAACACGACACATGTTATATAACATAACATGGCACATGTTATAAAACATGACATATGTTGTATAACATAACATGACACGTGTTATATAAGATAACACAACACATGTTATATAAGATAACATGACATATATTATATAACAAAAATAACATAACGTGTTATATAAAATCACATGAGATATGTTATATAACATAACATGACATGTGTTATATAACATAATATGACGCATGTTATATAACATAACATGACACATAATTATAACAAAACATGACACATGATAACAAACATAACATGACATTACATATATTATATAACATAACATGACAGATGTTATATAACAAACATAACATGACATATGGTATATAATATGACATGACGCTTGTTATATAAGATGACACGTGATTATAAGATAACACGACACATGTTATATAACATAACATGACATATGTTATATAACATAACATGACACATGATTATAACATAACACAACACATGTTATATAACATAACATGACACATGATTATAACATAACATGGTATATAATACAACTTGACATATGTTATATGACATAACATGACACAATTATAACATAACACGACACATGTTATACAACATAACATATTATGTTATATGACATAATATGACACATGTTCTATAACTTGACATGACAGATGTTACATAACATGACATGACATGTTATATAACATAACGTCACTTATGTTATATAACTTGACATGACAGATGTTACATAACATAACATGTTTTATATAACATAACATGACATGACATATGTTATATAACATAACATGAGACTTGATAATAACATTACACGAAACATGTTATATAACA